CAATAAAAAGTAATAACAACAAATAAACTAACATAAAATTAACAAAATACTAATTAACAATTATACAAAATAACTTTTTAATATAATTTGAAACTAAATTAAATTAAATGAATTGATTACTATTAAATTAAAAACGAATAAAAATAAAACAATAACAAAAAAATTAAAAAATGTGTAAAATAGAAAAAAATTAAAAAAATAAAAACCGTATTGTTAGAAAATAATAAAAATATTTTTAAGAGCAATAAATGACACAAACTTAAAAAAAAAATTATAATAAAACTGCAAATGTAAAGTAAATAGGTAAAATGAAATATTTTAATAAAAATTAAATTATTTTTCAAAAAAAAAAAATTAAAATAAAAAAAATTATTGAAAATATTTCTAAATAATAAAATATTTACCAAATACCCCATTAAAATTTAAAGAGCAACTATTATTTATATATTACATTATTTAAATGATTATCCCATCATTTATAAATATTATTCAATAACCCATTTTTTCCACAACTGATCCACCAATTTCCAAAACCTTACAAATTCGTCAAAATATTATGTGTGAACCTTACTTTCTTATACCTATCCTCTATACCACTATAAAATACGTGCTTTATTTTTATATGATATTTAAAAAATATTTTAAAATTACTGTAAATCAGTAAAATTATTATTAACGACTATAATAATATCAGTAAGGTACTTGGAAGTAGCTTTATAATACTGGTTTCTAATATTTGAAGGACTTCTTGTTTTAACATTTATATGGTGTAATCCGGATTGCAAATCAAGGAAACAAAAAAATTTTTTTTGAGTATGATATATTCATAATTATATTCCAACCGACTTGAGAGAAATATGTAATATGTATTGCTTGACAAGAGAAATATTAATTATACTAAAAAGAATCTATAATTATATTATAATTCTATTGAACTGAAAATACCATTATATGTAGTAATAGTGCTAGTTTACTATACTAGCAGAAGTTATCTGAAGTAAAAGAAACTACAGTCACAGTTCTCAAGTCTATATTATTTTTTTATTCTATATGTATTATAATAATTAGTCTTCATTGCAATAAATTTAGAGATGGAACTTAAAAGTTCAGTCAGAATGGTCCTAAACTATAATTAGAATAGATATGTTTTGTATGGATAATATATCTTAATTGCTAATAAATTTGAATCAGCACATTTGTATATGGTTAATGTGATACACAAAGTTTATAAATGTCAGTTCTCTTAATTCTGATACTTTTTACATTATTTATATTTTATAGACGGAAACTAATCTATATATGTTAAGCTTTGATGCTATTCAATTTTTCCTATTTTTCGTATAAAATTTTCCTAATTTTCCTATTGTATGCATATTCAACCTGGGAGAATTCTTTCAAAATACTAATATTAATTAATTAATATTTTTCTTTTTGAGTTTCCCTAAGAAGCTGTAAAGCAAAATAAAAACATTAGCATAAATTAAATAATTTGCTGAAAAGCGAAAAGCATTTTAAAAGCATTTAAGCACACCTCCAGTTGCAAAGCTTACATTGAATCTTTATTTCTTACCCGACTTAAGTCAGCAGAGGACTTAGTTTCAGTGGACGACAATCGCTGTCTTTTTATTGGCACTGTAGAGTCACTTGATTCACAATCAACCACTACCGTTGATCTCTGTATGTTTGCTGCTTGTGCCTGCATTTGTGGTAAAAGACCACCGTATCTTGAGATGTTTGCAGAATGTCCTAGACCGGCATCTTTAACTATTTGACGCGCCAAGGGGAATAGTTCATCACGACGTGTAAGAAGTGCAGGCACAAGACGGCATAATTGTGCGGCAGCCTCATTAACGCAAACTTCGTGAAATGTTAAGGGTTTCTCAGGGCGTCGCTTACAATCGAAACGACCATAAATCGCTGAGTACTTACGAATCTCCTCCATTCGTCTTGGATCACTTTCTTGCATAGCAATGACTTGTTCCAATTCGCGACTTGTACGCTTTTTAGAAGTCTGCGCACGTGGTTCACGTTTCGGTAACTTACGTGCTATATTTTCTGCACCAAGTGTGATATGTGTTACTTGTACATCTGTTAACACGGGTGTTAATTGTGGCGAACTGGAAGTAACCTGATGTGCGGTACTACCAGTAGTTTGATGTGTGGTGGGAGTTGTAGGCAGGGATAATGGTGTATGTGGTTGTATGACTGGTACTGTGATTGCGGGTGTACACATTTGCGTGAGCAAATTTGTGGAACTTGTTTGTGCTGTATTTATGAGTGGTGTTGGATTAAAAGGTGGTGTAGGATTGTAGTTGAGAAACTTACAGCGTGTTAATGAAGAGGTTGAAGGTTCGGCAGGATTATATGCATTTATGGGCTTTGTGGGTGTCTCGCATAAACCTATTTATAGAGTGTAATATATAATAAAGATATTGCATATAGTATTTTAAATCTTACTTGATGAACCACTTAATATAGCTGATTGAAATTGTGTTGGATTATTGGCCCATTCATGCAAGACTTTCTGTAATCTGCGTACATGCAACGGTTTCGATGCCATACCAACTAAAGCCATAATCTCAAGAAACTCCTCTTCACCTGCTTCATATAACTGTTGTACATCATCACCTCCCATTTCTAGTAAGGTGTCATAATAGGCCAAGAGACTGGCTCGCTGTAGTACAAGATACAATTGAACTTCTGCTTCATTGCTGGGTCTTGAAGTGGCAATCACTAAAGAATTACAAAAAAAAAAGGTTAATTAAATTATCCGAGCATATATAGGCATATATAACTCTTAAATGTTTTATATTAAAACTTGCAAGCATGAAGGGCTTAAAACAAGTTATTTCCTTCGGTAGAAGAAAAAAATTTCATCCCAGACCAACAAAACTCAATGCTTCCCATAACATTTAAAAATTATAAGAAAAAAACAAATTTAAATTCTACATTTTGTATAAAAAATATCTTAAAAAAATTATAAAAAAAAGGAGCAAAAAATGGACCGAATGGACTGTAACCCTTTCTGTCTTGCAAACACAAAAAAATTAGTTTATAAAATAAAATGTAAAAAAATCAAAAGCAAAGTAAAAAAAAATCTTAACCGTAGCAGAAGTAAAAAATCCGGCGTATTCCTTACCTAATCTGCATAAAGAAATTATCTGTGCGTCTGCGCCAACGTTTACGTGAGCGTCAGTGTCAGCTTAATAAGAAGCGCAAAGGCTTTGCGGCAAAGCAGTGTACTTATGCAAAATAGAGGAGGGTACAAGGGTAGAAACTCAAAAACAAAACAAAAGTACAAGACGCACGCAGGCAAACTTTAGTTTTCGATTTTAAAGATGACAGCGAAAACGAAAAGGATCATCGCATCAGTTTTTGGCAGCGACGGCGGCGCATCAGCAAAAGCAAAATATCACATTTGGTATTGTTAGATACGCATGAAGAATACGAATGAGCGGAAAGGTGCAGCGTGATTCTTAACATTTCTTTTTAAATTTTTTATCACTTTCGATAATTTTATAACCAAAAAAAACATATAATATACATTCAAATTTAGCGTGTGAAATTAAATTCTTGTTTAAACAAATAAAAATGAATAAAAAACTGTTTACTATGTGAGAAGTCTTTCAAAAGGATTAAGGATTTTTGTTAAAAAATATTGTGTTATTCTATTTAAAACAAATTAATAATTTTATTTTTATATATACAGTCGACACTGTAGAGAATGTGCAAAAAACATTCCCCATAACCCTCCATGCAGAAGTTGTGAAAACCCGTAGGAGAAAGAAACCATAGTACATTTTCTCTGTGAATGCCCGGCTTTGGCGTTCAGAAGATATAGGTTCTTAGGAAAATACTTCTATGATAGTTTATCAGACTGTTCATCGGTGAAAACGAAAGACCTTTTAAATTACCTAAATTCGGCGGGATGGATTTAGTCTCTACTCTTGTCCACTAGGGTTCTTCCGAGGAATGTGGTAGCAGAACGGCGAAAAATCGCTAATTGAGATACATGGAAGTTACCTAATGGCCTCCCACTGCAACTGATCAACCAACCACATTCGACGCTGGCAAATTAAAACCACTTTGTTTTAAGGTAATTCTAATTTTTGAAAAATTATAATTGCTGAACAATTTTTTGATTTGAATAAAAATAAAAAATTTAAAAAACTCTTTGAAAACAAAAACACAATAGACTTCTTTTTCCCTTTATTTTATTTAATAAAAATAAGTAAACGAAACTAAACAATCCAGTGCAATACATATAACTTGTATTTCTTTTAACTAAATGTAACGAAACATGAAGATTTACTCCAATTATATTACATGTACATATAATATTTTTTTAAATAATTTAATAAAAATGGAGTGTATTAAAAAAAGTAAAAATAATTGCGATAATGTTCAAAGCTAAGAAATTAATTGAAAGTTAATGGAGACGCAGACGGCACAATCGGCAAGTTTAAAACTAATCTTTCTGTGACATATGTATATTCTCAGTTGTATTTGTTTGACTTTTTGGTGTCGATAGTGCTATCGACACTATCGATGATTTACTACTACGATGGTAGTGTTAGACTATCGGTAGTCTATGATAGTTTGTCATAGCAACGCTTCACAAAAAAAGCACACTTTTGGCATCTGTAGTATGCCATGGCGTAAAGTAAATTTTAAATTCTAATTCTTAAAACATCACGGAGATAAACATGTCCACATTAAATTACTATTTAATAGTAATGATGATATATTTCTGTGTACCCGCTACTTCAGTCAAGTCCGAGCGCATGTTCAGTAAAGCTGAACAAGTAGTTTCAGAACGCCGCACTCGAATAAAACAAAAAAATATCAATATGACGTTATTTTTAATCAAAAATCTTTGGTTACTAAAACAGCAAAAATGTCGAAAATAAATAAATAAAAAATAAAATTTAGGATTTTTATTTTATTTAATTTATGTAAAATATTATCTTCAAAAATTAAATGAAATGTTTCATAACTATTAATTAAATTTTACTTGAAATTGAAAATAAAAAAATGATTTTTTGAATTAAACGGACATTTGTATTGAAATTAACATACTATCGAAAACTATCGATAGTAATCGATGCTTTCGAAAAAACTATCGATGGTGCCGACTATCGATAGTTCTCCACCTCTACTGTCGAGTTTGAAGACTTCAACAATAACTCATTCGCTTCTGTCTGAAAACTCAATATTACTACTGGGTTCATATACAGATCCGTCATCAAGCATATCTTCATTCTATCTTTTAATATGTTCTATGCAGATGGCTCAGATGTTCAGATCTATTTCTGCTAAAAGAGCAGAAATAACATAAATAAATCCATACAAAAAATAAAACAAACCCAGAAATTAGAATTTTTAGGTCTAATTTTAGAGCGTTAAATGTTTTACAAACTTCAATTCTAATTTCTGGAGAATTCAAATTTCAGAGAATTGTAATTTGTGAACTTGGACTGTACCTATATATATTTTTTATTTATTTATTAATAATGATAGTTTAGTTTATAAAACTAATACTAACCTGTATCGATATAGCTCTGGCTGCTGTGGCCTTCAGCTATCGATAATATATATGGTTATATGAACGGAGAATTTTTTGTTATTGGGTAAGTAATTAACGCACATATAAAAATACTACCCATCATGCGTTTGCACTTAAAATTCAATGTGTGCCCATAAGTCAACCAAAAAGTAGAAAAGCGGACAACAACATAATGAGCTAATGAAAATATTTACATGATGCTGTTGCTGCTGCTGTTTTAGTTGCTGTTGTCAACTTTTTTGCTCATATGTTACGTACGTATATAAGCACAACAGAAGTTGTGCAGTAGCGTACAGCAGCCAAACAAAAACAATGCCAATACAAAAAGTTAATAAATAATTTAGCAAATAAAAACGTAGCTCTTGCAATGATAATGTGGAATCGTAAATAATTATGTGAGAATATTTTACCCGCCATAATAACACAAAATGCTGCCAATATGTTGACTGACTAAAGTACCAACTATGTTATTCTCTACCAACAAGCTGAGAAAGCTTCTGGCATTCTGCACACACTGCCTGATACTGCCACTGCACTGTTACCACTAGGCCCAACGTGTGTCTGGAAGAAATCTACATGCAGTAAGAGTAAGCCAAGCACTGATTTTTTCATTTGGGCTTGGTGTTTTCTGGCTTCAGCTCTTACTTCGACGCTGTCGCCTGTTAAGCTGTTGCCTTTTACTGAAGTGTGCACACATTAACGATATAACACAAGTTGGTTTTTTTTTGTTGTTTATTCTTCATTTATTTTATCAAAATGGTACACATACAAAAAAAGTTTATAATTAGTCAAAGATACATGTCCACATACAGAGATTTCTATATGAGTAAGTAAGGTGCATCGATATTTAGTTATGTTGTGCTTGTTCTTATTATTGTTGTTATTGTTTCTGCTGTTGGTCTTGTCATTTAGTATGCAATAATAAAACTCCCGATAAAAAGTATTAATAAAATCTCAACTTAAAAGAAGAACACAAATCAAGGAAGTAAGCTAAATGCCTTAACAATTTGAACCCTTCAATTTATTAACCGAAACAGGAATTTATAATATCTAAATGAATGTTATGGTATCACTAACCATAACATATTAACATGTAACCTAATAAATGATGTATAGAATATGAAAACAAAATTATTTGTTGATGTTTATTTTGTATTAAAAAAGGATTCGTTAATAGATAACATTATATGTTAAAATAACACTTTTAAATACATATAAACACTTAAAATTTAAAGACAAATATTAAGCTTGTATTTTATGAATATATGAGGACAGTCTTATTCCTACTAATAAGAAAAATACGATAAAGATTTAAGCACTATTATTGCTTATTACTTTAAATTTTTCTATTAAATGTGATATTCAATAACATTTAAATGTTCTTCATAGGACACCAGTATTACCCATGCTGTCTTGCATGTTTTTGAGAAAATTTACTATGACATGTTGGTGCTGACAAATCGCATGAACTTGATGGACAAATTCATATCACCTAAACGTCAAATTCTACGTCCGTGAAATTTCTAGCGCAACAAAACTAAAACTAAACTTATTTTGTGATATGTGGGTTGTGTCGCTGTCTTGTCGAAACCAATTATCTTCTGCCACCAGATCTTTAACAAAATTGATAATTCGTGTCACATCTTTGTCATATCAAAATAAAGCAAAATGAACTTAAGCTAAAGATTACAAAAATGGGCCGCTTATGGGATGGACTCTCTGTATAAATTAAAATAATAATTTACAAGCAAATCCTAAAGTCAATACGGTCTTAAAGCAAAAACACTTTAAGTGCTTCAACAATTTAACTAAATATATCACATCTTGGATAATAGTTCTGCTTGACATAACATATTGAAAAAGGGCTGCAAACTTAGATCCCTGAAATGGAAAACCCTGTATATAGCACATATACTATATACAAGAAAATAAAATGTCGTATATCTATTTATTTGTTTCTTAAGCACTCGAAAAGGTTTCGACTGGCTTAAAAACGATTCTTATAGAAAATTGTTCAGATATATGAATACATTAAGACTGAAAAGTTTTCGGAAATTCTCATTTAAAATTCGCGCGCTGTATATTTTTCGATATTTTA